CGTCGCCCCCCCAAGGGCCCCCAAAGAGGGCCCCCCCCCCCCCGGCCGTAGCCGATGGCGTAGCGGAAGGGGGGAGTGCCCACCCGCTGCCATTGTCTGCGGAGGGGCCCGTCCTCGTGTCCCAGTCGGTCCCAAGGGGCCTTTGGTTCTTCTGGTTGAGGACCTTCGCCCTTTTGTTTTTTGTGACTTTGACTTTTTAGAGTCCAGGCCAGATGGCTTCGAGTGGCCCACATTCTGGTTTCGCTGGATTATCTCCTCATGAGTAAGTTCAGGTTAAGTATTTTTTGGCAAGAAGAATTGCTGAGCTGTGTCAGGAAGGCATTCGCAGCAGGCGCTTCGCCCCGAATCGTCTCAGCAGTGCTGCTGTTCGCTCACTTGGGCAAGGTGGCTGCCAGCTCTCTGGGGTCCAGGCACATCTGCCCAGTGGTTACTAGGTGACCCCTGATGCTCAGACCACACCCCTGCCCTCGCCAGCACCCTCTCTGGGGGCAGTGTCCATGGCCATCCTGGCCAGATGCCTTTGACGCAGGCTCACAGGCTCCCACGCCCCAGAGGCACAAGCTAGGTAGAATTCCTTCACCTGACACTCTGTGACCTTTCCCTGTGCCTGAACGCCCTTCAGGACCATCCGCATGGAGGGAGCCATCCGCTCAGCCGGACTGCGTGACCCTGGCTGTCCTTGACAGAAGGCATGCACACCACTCCCAGTCTGGTTCTGGGCCCTGGGCTGCTCTACGTGATTCCGGCGAGGGGCAGGAGGGCACCTCCTTTTTCTGTCTTGTCATCTCATTGCTGCTCTGGTCTAGAATTCTCAGAGAACTCGGGCATTCCCATCTCCACTGCCACTCCAGGAGCATAGCATCCCAGGGTGTGGGAATCGGTGCGCGCTCTGCAGCTAGTGTTGCCCCAAGGGGTCAGGGAGCAGTTCCCGGTTCCGGCAGGGTGTGCTAAGCCCTCTGGGAGGGGTGTGCCTGATAAGTAACTGCTTGATTTTCCTAAGGGGAGCCAGACTGACCGCTGGTCGTTCTGACGTGGTTTAGAAGATTCTGGTTCGCTCAGCAGGTTCCCGTCTGCCTCAGGTGCTCTCGCGCACTAGCAGCACAGGGAGCAGGGTGACGAGCACTTAGCAGCGAAACCCAGAGTTTGTGGAGCATCACACACGTGCAGGAGAGCTAGTGCGCTTCATCTTGTCATGTTAACAGTGTCGTGAGTTCTTTATATGATATACATCAGGCTTTCTCATTAAGAGTGTTTCTGAAATTGTCAGTTATAGGAAGACAATTATTCTTCCAGTGGCTTTATGATATCCTGATTATTAAATTTAAATTGTTTTAGTGGAAGGAGGCAAAACCGGAAGACCTTATGGATTCAAAACTTAGATGTGTGTTTGAGTTGCCAGCAGAAAACGATAAGCCAGTAAGTATGCTTACAGTTCACAGTAAGTGAATGTTGCAAGCTGATCCCCATTTGCATACCATCTCCTGTAAAACCAAGATTTAAGTTGGCAAATTATTTTCCTCCCTCTGATGTATGAAGAAAAAAATAAGCTGGAGTCAACAAATAAGTCAACAAATGAGCTTTTATGAAGTCAGCCTTGGAAAGACCTGCAGAAGACAGCTGGCTGAGACGCCGCTCCCTCGAGAGTCCGGCCTGGTGGCTGCTGAGACGTCCTGGACCCCAGGGCCATGCGGCTTGCCAGAGCTCTGGGCTGCTGCTCAGCAGTGGTGGAGACACGTGGGAAATAATTTGCCCTTGATCCTGGTGCCTGGCGGCAGGGTCAGCTCTCGGGTCTGCTGTGCGAGTGCCCTGTCAACTGCCCTCCCTGGCCCACCTCTCCCTTCCTGTCACCCTGCCTACCTCTGCGACACAACTGCTCTTAGCTGGGACTCTTGCAGCCACAGCACTGCTGACATTCTGAGCTGGGTGGTTCTCAGGGCGAGGCTATATTGCGACCTGTGCTTAGTGGTGCCCTGGCCTCTGCCCGGTGGATACCACTGGTATCTCCAGTCATGACAACCAAAAATGTTCCCAGACATTTTCATCGGTGTCCTGGGGCAAATTCACTCCCTCGTGAAGAAGGGTGGAACTCCTGCACTGCTTGAGGTAGGAGAAAACGGCAGCTTCCTCCAGGGTCGGCCGAAGGCTGTCTGGGCCCTCCCTGGGATCAGCTGAAGAGGGGAGACTATCCACATCGCTCATTTGGGCCTCCCTTCAACCTAGTTGAAAAAACGTATGCTACATTAAAAGCACAAAGAATTTAAAACACCCACAGGGTCTGGAACTGCCCCAACCATTCCGTAGGATTCCAGAACGCTCCACAGCGTCTGTGTCCCTGGCCACGGCGAGCCCCAGGAGTACTGCTGTGGTCCGAGCTGTGCACGGCATCTGGTCACGGTCACTGCCCTGTTCTCTGAGTGGGAGTTGCTTTTCCCTCTTCGTATTTTGCATTCTACTCTGGGAAGGTCCAATTGAAGGTTGTGAGACCCAAGTTCTGGCCCTAACGCTGCAGTGGGCTACCTGGAGGCCTGGAGCCCTACCCCCCAGGGCCTCACTCTTCCTGTGTGGAGAGTGCAGGGTGGAGCCATGTGTGGGATGTGTCACTGCCCAGAACCCCCAGGGCAACAATGCCCAGGAAGTCTCAGGGGGCTCCACATTTGGTTTTGGCGGGGGGTGGAGAGTGCTTTGCAGCTTCCCAGGTGAGATGTGGCCAACCCCCTGCTCGCTTCCCCTTCATCCCAGCTTCTCAGTTCTAAGTGGATAGAATAAGCCACTCTCCTGGCCTCTGGCCCCCATCCAGCCTGTGCTGGACTGTTTGGATCTTCACGGTGACAGTAATTTGTAGCTAGCAGTTCCGAGTGCAGTGACAGTCTGCTAATGTTCGCATGGCGGTGCGACTCGCGCAGTCTTTTTCTCTCCCTTTGAAGCATGGGTCTCAGCACGCTTCATTATTTGTCCCTGTCCGGACTTTCTATGGCCTGGTTGCTTTAGGTTGTTAAGACACTATAGATAAAGCGGCCAATTCTGAGACAGCCTTTACTCCCGAGCGTGGTACTTGCTGAGAGCTCCTTTGTGTAAAAAGTCCCCTATTAAATAGTTGGTGACACTTGGGCTTTCGTTTATTTCTGAACAGCATGATGCAGAAATAAACAAACTCATACCCACAACTGCGGCAAAGACAGACCCAGCGGCCGTGTCCAAATCCCTGAGCTCTTCTCTGGATGACACCGAGGTGAAGAAGGTGATGGAAGAGTGCAAGAGGCTGCAGGGGGAGGTTCAGCGGCTCCGGGAGGAGAACAAGCAGTTCAAGGTACTGGTCTGTTCCCTGAGGGCCTGAGAGGATGGCGTGTCACAGCGCCCCGGTGGGAGGGGTTTTCTGGTCATGGCATTTGCCCATTTTCCCTCCCCAAGGAGAGATTTCCGCAGCTTTCGTAAGATTCTCAGAAGGGTCCTTGGGCCCCCTAGTATTGAGGGCCACTGTGCCCGGAGCAGAAGTTTCTCAACTATTTAGACTCTTGTTCCTTCAGGGGGCGGGGTGTACTGCTCTGGACAGGAAGCCTGTGGCCCATGGAGTGACTCATGCCAGCAGTCACTGGCTTTGAGTGTGCTGTCATGCCGTGTCTTTCTGCACCGTAGGACCCCTCCAGCTTTCCACGTCTGAGTGCCTGTCGCAGGCACGGTGTGGGCAAGGGCATTTCTCAGCTCCAGGTTACGGGAGCTGTTGCTGCAGCTTAAGTTTTAGGCCTCTCTGTTCTTCTCGTCCTGATCGGGCCCCTAGCGTGTCATAGTCTTTCACTCCGTGCCCGCCATGGCCCGGGTACGCCAGGTAAATTAATTTGAGTTGACTGTCCCGTCTCAGCCTGACAGCGATCTGCCAGGAGGACAGACAGATCTGAGAAATGGCGTCTTCCTCCACAGTCATCTGGGTCTGCCTCGTTCTCTAACTTCTTTGAGTGTGGAGGAGATCATGAGGCTGCCACATAACTTTTTGGCTCTAGAGCAAAGTGCCTAAAGCTTTTCTGGAGTGTATTTCTCTTCAGAAATACTTCTGTGCCATTTAAAGTGAAAAGTAGGTAGAAATGGCTTCTGTATGAATCTAATAAGGTAAACGCTGCATTTTGCTGTGCCCATTTTTGAAGTTAACCGAGCGCTGGCCGGCCGTCACCGTGAGTGATACCTGCTATGCCCCGATGAGCAGAATGTCTTTAGATCGCCTTCACACCATCCTTGACGCCAGAGGTTCTTTATCTTGCCAAACTCTGATTTCTTGCTTCGTGTTCATTTGTTCTTTGATTTGGTCAACAAGTTACTGAAGGCCTGCTCTGGGCCCGCACTGTGGGCTTGGACAGGAGTAGCCCCTGGCCTGGGTACTCCAGGGGTGCTCCGTGGACGGGGTGGCAGGGAGAGACATGAACACGAGCCAGTGAGGTCCGGTCACGTGGAGATAGCAGCACGTGCTGGGGAGGTCAGCCAATGGGCTCACCTGGCTGTCGCCCCCAGGACCCAGGAGGCCCTTGGCGGACGTGAGCGAGCTCCAGGAGAAGAAAAGGAAGCGCAGCTGGTGTGCGGGGTTCAGGAGTGGGCGGCTGCGGGAGGAGCCTGGCTGCAGAGACTGCTCTAGGACAGAACAGCGAGGCCTTGATGGATGGCCTCGCCTGCATGTGGGCTTGGCCTGGAAGGTCTGGAAGCGCGTATCAGAGCTGAGCGTGAACTGCAGATTCCCAGCAGTGCGAGGCAGGACAGCAGGGGCCGTGGAGGGGAGGGGACAGCCTCACTCCTTACACCCTGCGTGATGGGGCAGAGAGGTGTGAAAAGGACTGCTGCCTCCAGCGAGAGGCGCGTGCGTTACGTAGAAGGTACCTGAGGCGGGGTGTCACAGTCCGTCACTTCTAATGATGCCAAGCACCTGCCGCGTGACAGCCCTGCGTTAGAACGCGTCTGGGAACCCATCTCCGGGCAGTTTCTTGGGATTTGTCTATTTGTGTTGGGGGAGGTGCCTTTGGTTTCAGCAGTCGATGACGACTTGAGGGAAGCCAGTTCCTGAGAGACAGCGGAGACAGAGGGCCCGGAGCCGATGGAGGAGAGCAGTGGGCAAGCAGGGCACAGAGGGTGAGCCTCCTAGAGCTTCTGCCTGTGCACCTAGAAACCAAGTCGTGCCCCGCTTAGGTTGGTGTTAGGGAAAG